AAAAACATCCAAAATTAGGAATAGCTGCTAAAAACACACACCCACACACACCCACCCCTATATATTACTTAAATAGAATATGTCATTGTAATATGTATACAAATTTCATTCATAACTACCCTGATAACTGTGACTTCGAATTAAAAATGCATAAGCAAGTTAACACCATGGAGAAACAGCTGCTGTTTCAATGCCAACACTCCTGGAGCGGGAGCCAGATTTGCGGTCAAATCCGGATGCCATCGCTGACTGGTACGTGACCTCGGGAAAATCACATCATCCATCCTGCTGCACTTCTTTATCCATAGATGAGAGAAACTTCCCTTACTTCCTGGAGTCATTGTGAAGAATCAATGAAATAGCATGTTGTGGGCATGCACACAGTACACTCCCGAAGTTTGTTTTCTACTGTCCCTTCCTCTGCAGGAGGTAATGAGTCTCTCCCTCCGTGGAATGAAGCATTACTGCTTTGTAACTATGCTGTGCATGTGACGATGCCCAAGGAAGTAGGTGGTAAATAACGCCGAGATGGAAACCAGAACGCACTCACAGTTAGTTGGCTCTCACCTAGATCCCAAAGGGCTGTTGCACGCTATTGCTTCCCAGAAATTTCATACACTTCCTTTTCTGAATGCAGGCAAAATTATCCACAGGCTCTGAAATATCACCATCGTGATGTTGCACAGAGCAGCTGGTTGATTGAAAGGGACTCCCCCTCCCCCACTCTCCAGCTGTCACCAGGAAACCCTCTTCCATGTGTGAAAAGACAATGCAATGTCACTACTACTGCTATTAATAACAATCTAACAAATACTTTGCAGTTGAAATTATTTTTCTTATGAAAGCTCACAATTAGCTAAAAATTAACTCTAAGAAATACCCTTCACTAAGCTAAATGCAAACCAGGGGCTTTCATACAACAAAAAATCAAGGGGCAGTAAACACAAGTTATGTATTTCCACGGACTCCCTGAATCTTTTTCCTTGAGTCATCTGTAACAGCCAGTTGAAATATTAAATAGCTTCAACAGTGATACAGCTGTCATACTTGGAGGGATGGAAAACAAAAAGAGCTTAGATGATGACTCAAAAAATGTGTATAGATACCACTCTATTTTTGTAGAAATAATCACTCCTCTGCATGAGAAGCTATACTACATATGTTTAACGCCATTGCTGAAAACCTTTTGTCTTGTCTTCAGAACATGTTTGTGACTCTGACTCCCACTCACAAGAATTCTTCCTGTCGTGACTTTTTAAGGTACAGCTCAGCTCCTGAGGATTTCTACCCCGTAGATGAAGAGTTTCACACCAGTGTCCTGGACCACCAGGTTCCAGGGACATGTCTCTGTGTCCCTGCAGAGGGCCTGCACCCTTCGTTAAAGCCTCTCCGCTCCTGAGCGCTATTCCCCAGATTCTGCTAAACAGCGTTCCCTGCTAAAAAATCCGAGGCCCACTGCTTGGATGACTACAACTGCAGCATAAAAGGAAATCTATCTCTTGAGAGCATCACTTCTATCTTTTTAATGGTCTTTTTTAAAAAAAATGTTTATGTATACATCACATGTAACTTTATGTAAGTGTACCCACTTAATCCCCATCCACAAATTACAAAACTATGGCCCTAGCCGGGTTGCTCAGTTGGTTGGAGTGTTGTCCTATACACCAAAAGGTTGCAGGTTTGATTCCCAGTCAGGGCACATACCCAGGTTGTGAGTTTGATCCCTAGTTAGGGAGTGTGTGGAAGGCAACCAACTCATGTTTCTCTCTCACATTAATGTTTCTCTCTCTCTCACCCTCCTTCCTCTCTCTCTAAAACAATCAATGAACATATCCTTGGGTGAGGATTACAAAAAATTGAAAATTATGACCTGGTAGGACTCCTTTCAAGTATTTTCCGTGCTCATGTATTTATACATTATATACACAAAAACACATAATGCTCTGAGCAGTGTGGCTCAGTTGATTGGGCATCATCCCACAAAGCAAAAGGTCACCAATCTGATCCCTCGTCAGGGCACAGGCCTGGATTGCGGGTTCAGTCCCAGTTAGGGCATGTACAAGAGGCAACCAATTGGTTTTTCTCTCTCACACTAGTGTTTCTTTCCCTTTCTCCCTACCTTCCCCTCTTTCTAAAGAATAAATACTTTAAAAAACACATTGAGAATTGTTATCATTTTTAAAAAATGGGACAAAAATGCTCATTTTATTATTAAACATCCATATTGAAAAATAATAACTATTTCAGAGCTAATATATTTTCATATACTTTGGTGCATGTTTTCTGTGAGGTCTCATCTCCTCTAACATAGCGCCCCCTTCTATAACTGAGTGACATACTAACTGAAATTACTTACACTTTCATCACCCCCTGACCTTCACCTTCCAGTTAGCAATGTCCACTTATGGACGTTGCTCTGAACGGTGATAAAACTGAAGATGGTGTTCTTCTATCAGGTTTAGAGTTTAAACTTTCTCCAAGCGTTTGCTTTCTCTGGTTCTCAATAATGTGAACACTCTGACTTTTCACTGCAGCATCTTTGTTTAAAAAGAAAACCAGTGTGGTTTGGTAATGACAAAACCATCTCACTCCTACGGAGGACATGAATGAGACAAAGTTAGGTTTCAGGTGGTAACTACTTTTTCCCACTGTCCACCGTGCAGTAGTTGTTGGGCCTGTACATCTAACACCCAGGGGACGTTTTACACTTTATTTCATTTTACTCACCGTCATTCGGCAATCACACACCAATGACTGCTCTTCTGCAGAAGAGGAAATTAACGTTGGGAGGGTGTTAACTTGTATGATGCACACAATCAGTAGTGGCAGAGGCAGGGTTCAAAGCAGGGTCTTCTTGACCCCCAAACCACTGCAATATCTCTGCCTCTCTGAGACAGAGAACAAGAAAAATGTTTGGGGCGTTCAGAAAATGAATGCTCTATGATGGGAGAGCATTACCAAAGTTACTTCTGATACAAGCCGATATCCAAGGTGAAAACTCTCTCACCACAATATCCAGGAGCCACAGCATGGCCCCGGGAGCAGCGTGCTCTAATGCAAGCCTGTTGGTGAGGCCCCAGTGTGGCACTGACCCTTCTTACACTGGAATGAGTCTAGGCTTTAGGGTGGCTGCTTCAAATCCTGAATATTTCTCCCCACCCCCCACCCCCCACCCCCCGCACTGTGGGCCCGTGGAAAGGAAAGGGAAATGCTGTTGAGTAAACCCTGCCACGGATGATCTGAAAAAAACAACAGGTGGCAGGCACACCTAACTCAACTCCTGAGATGCTTCCAGAAAACAAAGCTATGGAGAATGGCTGTAGTGAGGCCTTCTCTGCTACCATGGAGCTTCGACATGTGGGAAAGGAAGATAAGGATGGAAACATCTTCAGCCTTGTCCTTGGCTCACAAGTCACCGCTCTGTGATACTTCTCAACTCTAAGGCTCATCTCTGGTCAGTGATCCACCCTACCTTCTTTACCAAATTCTGGGTCAAAAAAAAAAAAGGTATAAATAAGCTGAAGAGAACAGAAGGACAAAAATTTTTAAAGTACTCTTCAACATGATTACTAACGCAATTCTTAAAAACCCTACAGCCAAGTGGTAGTTGGTATTGCCATCACTTTATGAGTATGTGTTGCTGTAACTTTTAACTTTTAATCGAGGGATTATATAGAATATAACTGGGAATCCAGAAACAAATAAATAAAATGTCTGCGAAGCAGCGGTCACAATATCTGTGCCCTATACCTCATATCTAAGCCAACGAAGAATCCTTCCAACACAGTTTATGTGTGTATTTTATATAGTCAAAGAGGTTATTAAATAACATCTCACCTTTGAGTGTTTTCTATGTATGTTGGTGTTAAACACTTTTCCTGCATTTTCACATTGAATGCTTACAGCCCTTTGAAGTAACCTTTGAGTAACTTGTCCAAAATCCTACACCTACAAAGGCTTCACCTGGATCCATTCCATTCTGTAAAACTCCACTGTGATCCCCAAATGGTTATCACTATGCCAGTGAGTCCCAAACTTTAGCACCTAGGTGCACTGGGAGCCACTGGTAAGACCCCTAAATTTTCATTTTCAACAAGTTCCGAGGTAAGGCCAATGCCAGTAGTCCTGGGACAATTCAGGAATCCAGTGCTGCCCCGCTATACCAGCAGCAAATGAAGTCTTTATAACTTTATTAGAACCAGCCAAAAAAAAACTCCCCGACATATAAATTTGAGGCACTAGACAGACTTTTAAAAGCCATTCCAAAGAACTAAAAATAAAAAAGAGGAACTCCGCTGTCAGTGAGTGCACTACCTATACATATAGATAGCTCAATCATGATTAAGCAATAATTCATTTTGATAGCACTCTGAGTCTTCAAAAGTGACTAAGATTCCGTTTTGGAAAGGTTTTTAAGGTCTGGGCAGAAAAGGGTTGAATTCACGGAAGCCGACTTCCTATGCCCTACTAAGAAAACAGAAAGTTATTGTTCCATGAGCACCAGAAACTGAAAGCTGTTGCTGATGCAACGCCGCTGTAAACTTGCTGCTTGTAAAACTCCACGGAGGTCACCCCATCCTCTGAGAGCCTCGGACGGGTAATTTCCGCCGCGGTCGGCCTCAGACACCGGGTGAAGAGGACCCCCGCGGGGTGGCTCTAGGAAACGCCCCCCGGATCTGTATCCTGAGTGTGCCTAGGTTGCCGGATGCCGAGGTTACGCCTCCAACCCTGATCCATCTCTGCTCCCATTCCCGACCCTGCCCCGCCTGCCCCTCCTGCCCCCGTCCCCGCAGGACTCCGACAGCGGCCCGCAGCCTCCACCCCACCGCCCGCGCCACTGCCCCACTTAACGCCCAAAGGAAGCCGCGCAGAACCGACCGCGCGAACAGAATCAAACAGACGCAGAAACTCACGCTCTCCACGGCCCGCCTGCGTCCCGACGTCCTGGCGCGCACGTGCGTCATCACGCACGGATGACGTTCCTCGTAGCTTTTCACCTCCGCGGTCTGCCTGGCGGGTCTGCCCAGCCTCACTCCTCCGCGGGCTGCGGCGCTGGCGCAGGTGCGCGCCAGGTGGCCCTCCAGGCTGCTGTTTAGGCAGCGGTGGCGGGAAGGTGGCTCCGAGGGCACCGTGTTGAGTGCCTTCTACTCATCCTGCAACTCCGAGTGAAACGTAGGAAGGTAATATTGCCTTCCCCGCCATAAATCACTATCGTCCTCTACCATGCGTAAAGCAAAAGCAAACACGCGGCCTGCCTTGGAGGGACCAGACGCCGGGGCAAGCAGCAAGTCGACCGCCTGGCGGCTGTGAAACTGTCCCTCCAGGGTTCAGCCCCGCTACAAGTTCCCAGCCTGCTGCGAGGAGTCCTCACACCCTACTTGAGAAGTGGCTGGTGTGAGAGACAGGAACTGCCACCTTCACGAGTTATCAGCAGGTAGCAGGAGCACTGCCTATCTCAGGGCGGAACCCACCGCGACCACGTTCGCCAGCAAAACGAGGTCGTGGGTGTGCTTTTCACTCCTCAAAGCCCGAGACTGCATTTCTTAGTCTGCTGGCCCATGTGAGGGCTTTAGGTGTTACGTATTTCTGTTAACTTGTCGTTTGATGCCATTTTAATTACAGGTTCGGCTTCTACTCTGGAACAAGGTTTCTGTTCATAGTGGGAGTCAGGGACAGTTAAATGCTCTCATGCTCTACTTACTTCATACAGTATCAGAAAACTATATTATTCGGCATGGAATTGTCTAATAAGTAGGAGTTAGATGCAGCTTTTCCAAGGAAGATTCCAAATGCAGGTGGTTGTGTGCTGCTCTGTATTTATTGAAAGTTGGGACAGTTGTATTTAGCTAGGTTACTTAACTGCCTAAGGCAGAAGAGTTTTGATATCTTTTGTTATTGTAAGAATTCTTTATATGAGTTTCATTTTGGAGTTTGAAATTTAAATGAAAAATTGGCTCATGAACAGGGTATATAATAGACTCTCAGGTGAAAGAAGAGCCCTAGGAGTTTGCAAGTATGTGGTCCTTGAGCCTTACAAGTTCTCCCTTCTGGAAACAATGTGCTCATCAGAAAGCTAGGAAGCTTGGCTGACCGTGAGAAACCACATTCCTGGGAAGAGAAAGTCAGCAGAACAAGAGGGGAAAGGTGAACTACCTTTAGAAGTATTTTATGTATTTCCCTAGGGAAAAGATGAATGTGATTTCTCAAAAAGAAGGAGTCCCCATTTATCCTTCTGATCCATGATCATATGCATTAATTCAATAATACTAATCCTATCTCATATTCTCTAGGACACTTTACACCTTTCATAATAGCATCATTTTTATAGTCTTTATCTTAACACATCAAATGCAGAGGTCATTTTAAGGGAGACACAAATCAAGCAGCTCCGTACAGTAATCTCATTAAAATGTTATTAAAGTATATAAGGATTAAGAATATAGACAATTATATTTAATTTCAAATATTATCACTGGAAAAATTTACAGACATTTGAGAGGACAAAAAAAAGTCTGCATTTTAAAATAATGACTATGGAGCAGACAGAAAATTTTCTAAGTTCATACTGAAATCATGTATCATAGTCAAGTTCCATTTAAATTTTCAAACAGATCACTTGGATAATAATTGTATATCTTAAGCAGCACCCTTTCACTGAGACAAGGCTTAAAATGCCGAAGAATCAATGCCATAAATCCTTTAGCATAAAAGTTATGCGGTTGTAACATTGGATTCATAAACATAAAGTATTCATGAATCTTAATCATGAGAAAAAGCAACATTATGTACCTTGTGTACAATATTTGAGACCTAAATGAGTATCTGGATAATTTCCTGTTTTTATCTAAGTTTTGCAAGAGAGCAACAATACCTGGCAAAGAGCCATCTGACAAATAAATATTCCTAGAAATTGGTTCTTGTGTATAAACAGAGGAATTGTGGTAACAACCTTTGCACAGTTCATAAATCTAGGATTGGGACTGGTAGGAAGGCAGATAAGTATCATTTTCAACTTTTACAATCAGGCCTGATGGTGAGAAAACACCAGGCAACAACACCATGAGCAAATAACACAACTGGATTGCTTTTTTAAGAAGAGTTTTTTGGGGTATGTACTTGCTCTTAATGAATTGAGTGTTCGTTGTTATACCCAAAACTGTACCAAACGATGTATAAATTGATCAAAGAATGCATAGCTTTCTTGTGAAAAAGCTTACAATTTAAGAACACGTTAAGAACTGTAAAAGTAAATAAAAAATTGCATCATGTATTATGATGATGATAAGACAACAATATTTAACAGTGGTGGACCAAGTAAATAGTAACCATAACAGATTTTCAATGGCTTTACTGATACCAGACAAAATAGACTTGGAGACAAGAAATATTTCTAGAGACAGACGTTTCATAATGATAAGGTGGTCAATAAACATCAGGAAGATAAAACAATGATAACAAAGCACCACGTACTGGGTGGCTTAAAACAATGGAAATTTGTGTCTCACAGTTCTCGAGGTCAAGTCCAAGATCAATGTGTTGGCAGGACGGAGCCCTCTGAAACCTGTAGGGGAGAATCCCTCCTTGACTCCAGCTGCCGGTGCTTAGTCAGCAGTCCTTCATGTTCCTTGGCTTGCAGCTCCATCAGCTTCCGTCTCTGTCTCTCTCTCATCACATGGCATCTCCCCCTCATATATCTTATTAGCTCATCTTCTTATTAGGACACAAGTGATGGAGGATTTAAGAGCCCAGCTTACTCCAATATGACCTGCTTTTGACTAATTACATCTGCAATGACTCTGTTTCCAAATAGGAACACATCCTGAAGCACTGAGGGTTAGGACTACAGCATGTCATTTGGGGTGACATAATTCAACCCATAACAGACTATACAAGTAAAAAAATAATGAGTACTTTAAAAATATCCCCACAAAGAAAAGTTCAGGCCCGCATGGGTTTACAGGTGATTTCAATCAAATGTTTAAGAAAGAAAGAAATACTCTTTCTGAAATAAAAAAGCACTTCTCAACTTATTCTATGAAGACATTTATGCCTTGATACGAATGTCATATAAAGACATTACAAATGGGCCTGGAAACCAAAGGGTTGCTAGTTCAATTCCCAGTCAGGGCACATGCCTGGGTTGCAGGCCAGGTCCCCGGTGCAGGGGCAGATGAGAGGCAACCACATATTGACGTTTCTCTCCTTTTTCTCCTCTTCCCCTCTCTCTAAAAATAAATAAATGAAATATTTTTTTAAAAAAGACATTACAGAAAGAAAACTACAAAGCAATATCCCTCATGAACATACAAAAATTTCTTAACAAAGTATTAGCAAACCAAATGCAACCATAGCTTAAAGGGGATTATATGCCCTAAATGCAAGGTTGGTTTAACATAAAAAATATTAATGCAAAACAACACTACAGTAATAGAGGAAAAGACAAAACCACACACAATCTCACAGATACAGAAAAGTATTTGACAAAATCCAATAAAACCATGATAAAAACTCAAAAAAAAGTAGGGTTAAAAGGCACTTCCTCAGCCTAATAAAGGGCATCTAAAAAAACTGTACAAGCTTTATGCAGTGGCAGTATCGTAGCCAATGAGGTTTATCCGAGGTGCAATTACTGCTAATTGAAAACTAAAAAAAAAAACATACAGCCGATTTCATACTTAACTGTGAAACACTGAATGCTTTCCCCCTAAGATCAAGAACAAGGCAAGGATGTCTGTTCTCACAACTTATATTCAAAATTTTACTGGAAGTTTCTGCCAGTGGAATAAAGGAGAAAAACAAACAAAAAAAGACAACAGATTGAATAGGGAGAAGTAAAATTGCCCTTATTCACACGTGACTTGATCCTGTATGTAAAAATCTTTTAAAAAACCACATATACACAAGTAAGCACTACTGGAATGAATAAATGAATTTAGCAGTCTCAGGATATCACATCAAGATTTTTTTTAAGTATGTTTATATATTACGAGTAAACAGTCCAAAACAGCATTAAGAAGACAATCTCATTCTGAACAGCATCACAAAGAATAATACACTTAGGAATAAATGTAGTAAAAGAGGTACAAGACTTATACACTGCAAACTACTTCATAATATTTGAGCGGAATTGACATTCCATGTTCATGGACTGGAAGGCTCAGTTGTTAAGATGGCAATTCTCAAATTGATATATGGATTTGTTATAATCTCAAAATCTTAGCATACTCATAGAAATTGAGAAGCTGAGCTTTATAATGTAGAATAAAATATAATAGTTAAAACAGTTTTGAAGAAGAAGAAAGCTGGAGGAATTACACTACCCAATTTCAAAATGCACTATACAGTAATAGTCATCAAGACTGCATTATTGGTGTAAGAGTAGTCATAGAGATCAGTGAGTGGAACTTAAGCCCTTATATGGTCAGCTGATTTTCATTGAAATTGCCAAGGCAAAGGCTGGTCTTTTCAACAAATAATGCTGGGAAAACGGATATCAATGTAAAAAAGGACCATGAAGTTCAACTCTTCATGCAGCACACAAAATTAAATACAAAATCAAATACAAAAATTCAAGTGGAACATGGGCCTAAATGTAACAGCTAAAGGCATAAAAACTCCTGAAAAAAAAAACACAAGGGAAAATATTTGTCAAGCTAGTTAGGGAAACACTTTTTAGCTAGACACCAAAAGCATGATCCACAAAATAAAATATAAATTGGACCTCCTCAAAATAAAAAAAATATTTGCTGTTTAAATGACATCATTAATAAAATGAAATTCAGGCCACAGATTTGAAGAAAACATTTGCACATTTTATATCTGATACAGGATTTGTATCTGGACTATTGAAAGCATGAAAGCGTCAAAGGCCATGGATGCGCTCCCATCTTAGCGTTGATGAGGTGTGTTTTGACAAAGGACTTACTCTGCAGCTGACAGGTAGGTTTCCCCCACACTGATGATGAGAAGAGGCAGGAAAGATAAATTAGAGAGAGGGTAAAGAAGAGAAAACAATTCCAGTTCACTCTGGGTCACCAGAATTGTTACTGCATGGGGACTGGACCCAGGGCGGGTCTGCCTCAGGCCAGCCCGTACTGTGTAGGTCCTTGACTTCGTGCAGGAAAGATTTTACAAGACGAGTCCAGGCGAGACTACAGTGAATACAGCTGGAGACAGTGAAACGAAGGGTTTACAATAGGAGAAGCAACGGGAGAGAGCCTAGGTGGGGCGCTGTGGCTGTTTAGAAGTGTTAAAGGAGAGAAGTGGGCCATGCTGGGCTGCGTGAACTCACTGAGAAGTAAAAGGCAGGGCTGCTGTCAGCTCACTGGAAAGCCAGAGAAAAAAGGGGTCTTTGCAGACAGGTTCGTGGGGTAAGTCCAGGAAGAGCTGCTGCTACCTGCTACTCTCCTGGTTGCAAGTCTCATGGGGACCCTTAGAGTTGAGGAGAAAGAGAGCAGAGATTCATGCATAAGGAAGAAAGTATTGGCAATACTTTAGAGAGAGCATGCTCCTGTCTTAGAAATTCTTATAATGATCCTGTCTTTGAGTCTTTATTTGGAAATACATGCTTTAGAACTCAAATGGTTTTTCATTGGCTTAAATGAAGAACGGAGAGTTAAGAATCTATCATGATTTTGTTGTCAATGAGAAAAATCCTGGAAGAAATGAGGTATTACTAAAACTGCAAATAGGAGCAGTGCACTTGCAGTAGACTTGCGATGGTTAATTATCCTGACATTATGGTCTTTATTCTAATTGCATATCAGTTGTCACAAATCAGCTCTCAATCTAATGGAGCTGAGAAGAGCTGTGATAACACTAAAATGATTCGTGTTGCTCTGCAGGATTCTAATGCTTTCAACTTGATGTTTCAACTCTCGCCCCTAGATTATCCACATCCTGATTTCTGAACACACCACCAACACATCAATTTACTTCTTATATTGGGGTGTTAATCCAATGAAACCTCATTCTCTCCTCGTGTATGATCTACTTTTTTTCTTAAAGAGTCCTCGCTCTACAAATAGAGGACGAATAAGTCAGAATTTTCTTCTCCCTGCCCCCGTACCATAAGAGAACAGGAATATAACAGGGGAACCCATCTGGAGATGGTTGGAGTACAATTCAAGACCAGAATTCAGTGGGAGAGCTGGAGGCTGAGTACCCCTCAAAAGACCTAGGGAAGGGGAGGGTGCTAGCTCGATCACTTCAAAACACCCTGAACTTGAACACGAACCTTGACCCTCTACGCCTGCTATGACCTACAGATACAAATTTTATTTTCTTACCACTGAGTACTACTTTAGTAAATTTAAAAATTGTTTTCTCACTCCTCTAGCATTCTATAAAATCTCACTATCACCATCCATATGACCTGTACCTGTTAAGTAAGTTAATATATTTAGGTCTCCTATCAACGTGCCCGGCACGCTGTAAACACTCAGTCCGTGTCTGCTGTTTTGATAGCCACTACAGCTGCCATTTGTGGAGGGTCTGCTGTGTGCCAGGCCCTTCACCAAACGGAGAGTCGGGGGAGACTAAGGGATCTGCCCAGAGCTGCAGAGCTGGCGGGCGGAAGGTTAATGGTTCACATTTCCTAATACATTATTTCTACTTCTGAATATTAAGTGTCGAGTACTATGTCCCTGGATGCATCATAGTCTATATAAAAGGTAGTTTTGTTCTTACTCATGTACCTGTTTACATAAAGTTTTCACTGCTTCATTGTCTAAACTGTAAAAAAAATTGAAATGACAGCTGTTCACTATCCATTTCAGGATTATTTTGAATGGTCGTGTTTTAGTTTTCTGTATTTTTCTCTTTTTGGAAGTATTTTTTTTTCTACTGTGTGTTTTGGGTAAATCTCCCTTAATCTTGTTGTAACTCATTATGCTTATTATCTAAAAATTAAACTGGGTTTCCAGCTGTCCCATTGTTTCCACGTTTACAGGGTAATAGTAGAATATTGTTTAAGAGCCCTTGTGTCTTTCAAATAATAAGTCCTAAGGAAAATACGCACATCACTTTGACATGGGAAATCGTGTAGCCTCTTAGGAAGATGTGAGTCAGACTGGACCTTTCTTGATTAGCGGGCATTGCATTCTTTAAGTGAATCAGCCCCGTCCTGCTCTGGAGCACAGCGTGCGCCTCCCAGGGGAATGCAGCAGAACGGTCCGAACGGGGAATATCTGTCTTCATCCTCCAACACCGCTCGAAGCCATAGGTTTTGAAGTACCCTTAAGGCAGGGGTCAGGCATTCCGGTGCCTGCAGGGCCAGGCAGGTGACATAAATGAGTCAGGTGGGCTGGATGGAAGAAAGCAGCTGAAGCGTCATGGTGACAAATGGCACCTGACTTTTGGCCACGGTGTCAGGGAGATGATCTAGGGTCATGGGATGATGGCAAAGTGGCCCTCAAAAGGGGCAGCTGCTTTTCAGCTTTGGTTGACTGAGGCCGTGTGGGAATCAGGGCCCCATGCTCTCAGACCGGCTGATTTTAAAGGAGAAATTAGAATTTCAATTTTTGATGCATCATCTTCTAATTTGTAATGTTCACAATTTAAAAACATACTATGAAATACTAACCATGGGCCCTACACTGGCCAGCAGGCCACAGGTTGCAACTTTTCATATAATGAAAAAAGACAAATGGTAATAGAAATAATGCCTGAAAATGATCTCATAGTTTGGAATTCTTATACTTTTTATATCAGCCTATCTATAACATTAAACTTCACTTGGGTTACACTTTATAAAAACAAACAGAAGAGATGGCATAGACCTAGGGATCTGTGTGAAACCATAAAGTGCATGTACTAATATGTGAACTGTGCACCACCCACTTCAGGATTCCTACAGAGCATATTTAAGCTGTGCATGCTGGATTGGCACTTACTAGGGCTCAGGCGGCACTGAGGAGTCCGACTTGGCACCAGCACCCCGGGCCCTAGATGATTCTCAGATGGCCTTTAATGGAGTTTGTCCCTGAGGGGTGTGCAGGCAGCGTGGTGGTGGCGCAGCCGCACCCACCTTCTGCTCTTCCGTCTTCTCCCAGGCACAGGCAGCTCCAACTTAAAATGCGTTGGATCCAAGCTTGGTTGGACAATCCGGAATACGTCTGTGCTTTGGGGCTTTTCAGTTCTGTAGTTACAGGTTGATACTTCCTACTGATGAACGTGTACCTCATTAGTTTACAGTTTATAGTTGTTCAGTATATGCCTCCATTTAGCTAATGTCTTAGTGGGTTATTTCCTCTGGGCTCCCTACCGAGTATCAGTTTAATGGACCTGATCGGTGCCCAGTAAGTAATTTTTGATTGACTATTATAATGCATTAATTAGAACATCATCAACTAGGCCTACCAGATTAACTGTCTGTGACTGAACTGAACAATCATTTACTTTAACCCAGTAGGCATTTTAGTTAAGCCACTAATTTGACTGATTTTTAGCTCTCAGAAAATTATTGGATGACACTTGACCAAATGAGCCCATCCCCAAATAATTAATGTAACTCCTGACCTTGCCTGCTCTTAGATGCAAGGAGCAAACGTGTCGTCAGGAATATACAACTCATTATGCACTCTGACACAGGACAGAAACAGTCTGAGAGCGGTAGAGTCACATTGTTTTAGACGCTGGCAACATTAGCTGCAAAAAATGCTGATAGGCTGACATGTTCAATGAACTACACATTTCAGCCTGTCGAGGGAAAACCACAATTAAAATGTAAATTGTTATTTTGCATCAGTGAAAAATGAACCAAAATGCAAGCTGTCTTTTAAAAACATTGAGATCAGGAAAAGGCAGTAGACCTGTGTTCTCTCTCTGGTGTTCGTACCCTGCAAACAACAGAATCTTAAATGCGGGGCACAGTGTAAGAGATTATTCATTCCTTAGCATACACAAGAACGAGGCTGTTTCTTAAACCATTCCAAGCATTGTTAGACAAAAGAAATTTCTGACCCCTGAGGTAACCTTCTCCACGAGATAAACTGATAATTTCTTGTGCAGCTTTTTTTGTCATTTCCATGCTACTCTGGTTAATGCAACTAGCCCCGCAGTTCAGAATATTCAAATACACAACTGGGTTTTGGGGCACAAGGATGGGTCTTGAATTCACCCCCACAGAGGTGAAGTAACATTGAATTTGTCACTGCCTTGTCTAAGTCAGCAAGATGGCACACTGTATAATATCTTTAGAAATACCAAGGTAAGAAGCCCACAGGGAGGAAGGTGAAAAGAAGGTCAGCTACCGACATAAAATCAGGCTCCAGATGTGATGATCCTTCGTCAGAGGCTTGGTAGCCTGCAAGTCAGCATAATGTTATTGGATCCACCTCCCAGCTGAAGCCAAATATGTGGGCAAAGCCAGCCCCACCTGCACGCTAGTGGGTGAGCCGTCAGCATCGGCGCTCTAACTGGAGACACAAACGGATCTTTTTATAAAAGAACTTAAAGCCCTAATCAGCCTCTTTTATTTTCTGTTCCCCTCGCCCCAAAGTGTTGACCTGTATTCTAATGTCTGAAGAATCCATGAATGACTTGGAAAAAAAATTAACCTCTGGTAGCCAGAGTCCTGAAAATTGTACTTTAAAGAACACCTGGAAAACTCAGTCTACCATGTGTTGACAAACTGGGGTGAAAAAGTTAGTTTTACTAGAAACAAGCACTGTGTGACAACTCTTCAAACAACCTTTTTCCTCAACAGAATACACTTACCAGAAATGGCTTAAACTAGAATTAACAAAGTGAAACAGAAATTGGAACCTCGAGTTTTACTTTTGCCCTCTGTGATGTAGGTAGGGTTTATGGTATTAGAGTCAATCAACCTTGATATGCTTTGATTAATGCAATACAAAAATTTCCAAAAGACTTCTCTGTTACCTAGAGGAATGAATACATGAAACATTCAGTGCAGTTTTAAAGCTTGGATGAAATAA